AGCGGGGGGCATGGGATGAGCATGGGAGGGGCGATGAACAGAGGGGCATCACTGGGACCGGGACCTTTGGGACTGGCACCTGTAGCGGCAGTCATGGCACCACAAGGGCACGCGATGATACAAAGCATGGCCGAGAGTGGGAGGGTGCAGCAGCATAACCTTATGCAGATTCATGCTGCCCAGCAGTCGCAGCATGTTCAGGTGGGATGAAAGGTTTGTTGGTTTTTCTTGCTATCATGCTTTGCTTGTCAACAGGAGCTTTGCAGCTTCTTTGGATTTTATTTTTATTTTTATTTATTTATTTATTTATTTATTGTTTCCTGTTTCCATGATGGTTCTTGTTTGTACTGATTGCTTTAGTTTCTTTGATAGGAATTGGCGTTTTCGTTAGATGTTTTGAATTTGATTATGATGGTTGCCTTTGGATGAGGCACCATTGCAGCGTGCAGCTCAGTTTTTTATTGGTGTATTTTTCGTGACAATCGCGTTCTTGACTTGTCAGCAGCAGCAGTTTTCCTTGCAAGGACAATCACCACAATACCAGCAACGTGGTGCTTTGAATGCCCGCACTGGAGCTGGGAACGCTGACGATAGTCTTGGTGGTAGCAATGGGAGCTTATCGAGTAGCGGGGGTCGGTGTAGAGAGCGAGAGGTCGTGGATGATAGGAAGTTACATAGTAAGAGACTCTCTGGAGCTGCATCCTCACGACATGTGGAAAGCGTTGGTGGGACGCAGTCGTCTACTGTTTGCAGCGAAGTGGCTTCCTCTCGCAATCAAGTTGGTACTTCCTTGAAATTGATGGCTCCCACAAATTCTGGTACGGTTTCTAGAGTGAGCGGGCATTCGGGTTCGGACCGAGCGGGCAACGTGCAGCATCAGGCGTTGTTGGGGGCGTCGAAGCACGGTAATGTGAGGTTCAAGGGCACGGCAGGGTCAAATCCTGCTGGCTCTGCACCAATGTACCTGGCAACTCAAGGCTTTTTTTCAGATCATGTTCCCGCTTCCGGAGGGTCCGTTGGGGAGAAGGTTATTGGACAAGGGTTGAATCTAGCGGGACAAAGCACAATGACAAACCAGGGTGCGAGGCCAGTTTCCGTTGGGCAGCATACACACGTAAAGGCGAGCCAGAGGCTATTGGGATCCCTGCCAGGCGCAACCACCCCCCCAACAGGTTCAGCAGTGAACTTTCAAGCAGTGTTGGCTGCTGCGATGGCGAAGAATTTGCAGGGCCCTCATGCACATCGGGCAGCTCCAGTGGGTGGGACTGCAAATGCTAATGTAAATGCCGGGAGTAGTTCTAGGATAAAACCATCGATGACAGGTCCTTCAGCATCATCGGGTGCGTTTCCTATGGCCTCGATCATTCCACCGTCGGAGAGTTCAGGGTTGAACCCAGCGAAGAGTAATTCGTCTCATAAGTCAGAGTTACCTACACTTCAGAAGGTGAGTTCGGATGCGGTTTCCTTGGAACGACATTCCTCTTCTTTGGCGGTTAGTTCCGTTCTTTCGATATTGTATCCAAATATTTTGGCCCAGAACATGTCTAGTAAAAGCTCCCATCGATCCCAGATGCAGAGTCAAATGCAGGGACAGAGCCAAGGGCAAGTTCCTGGTCCCCCGAAGCATGGGGGTAGTCAGTCTCAGGGCTCGGCACAGACACAGGGACCTCCTCCCCAGATGCAGCAGCAGCAACATGTGCGTTATTTGCAAAACTTTTTCGGTTGGTTGTTGTGTCCACACCTGGTTATGTTTGTACAGGGGATATGCTATCCTACTTTAGGGCTGTATTTGTGCTGTTAAAATAGAAATAGCGGGGCATTTTTGTGCTGCATTTACTATTTCAATAGGGGTTGGTGTATCAGTTTTAAGACACGGTAGACCTGGCGTCATGTTTTGTGCGAGTGGGGTTTTCTGTCCTGATTTCACAAATGATGTAGCTGCAGCTTCAGCAACAACTGCAACAGCAACAGCAACAACAGCCCCCTCATTCACAGGGTTCCCAAGATAGCCCTCAACAGTTGCAAGCGTCCCAACAAGCCACACCGCATCAACAACAGCCTGGTTCGGGTCCTCAGACCTACAAGCCTTCGTCTCAACATTTGCAGCAGGCGCAGCAGATGCAGCCACCACAGCAGCAGTTTGCGGGTGGCGGTGGAAACGGTAGCTTGGCATTGAGCCCTGGGGTGTCAGTGGGCGCAGGAAGCAACAGCAGTGAAGGTGGCGGTGGGCGGAGCAGCACGAATGCAGATGCAGGGGGAGGTGGTCCGAACGGGAGGTCATGTGAGAGTGCGAAGCAAGGCGGGGGTGGGAGCGTGGGAATGGTGAATGCGGGAGGTCAGCGGAATGGTGGGTACGTGCAGCAGTATGGAGGTGGCGGTGGTGTGTCGTCGGGTGAGCAGCAGTCGGGCAGTGGTGGGAGCGGCGGGCCGTCAGGTTATAACGAGGGGAAGTCGAAGTCGGGTGCGGCGGGAAGAGGTGAGGAGATTTGAGGGGGGTGGGGGTGAGGGTAGGAGCGGGTGTTGGGAGTGGGGTGGAGTTGGTGCGGTGGAGTACGAGGGGAGAGGGGAGTTTGGGGTGGCTAACGGGGGCGTTGGGGGTTGGAACATGGCAGATGGGGGGCAAAAGGCGGTGAATGAGATGCGGGTGGCGCAAGGTGCGATGGCAGGGAGGGGCGCGTCGACGATGGGAGGCAGCCCCGGGGCGCAGGGTTCGTCGCAGCGAGGGCAGGGGGGTGGGGGAAGTGGGAGTAAAGGGGGGATGGGACAGGCGAGCAATTTGGGGGATGTTGGGCAGTCGCGGACGAGCGGGATGATGTCGAGCTCGATGAGCGGGGGGGGTGGGAGTGGCGGGAGTATGTCGAACGGGCAGAGCAAGAACAGCAGCAGCGGGAATGTAGAGAGTGGAGGAGACGGGAGGGGTGGAACGAATGAGGGTTCGTTACAGCAGGGAGGTGGGAGCGGGAGCCATGGTGCGGGAGGGGGTGGAGTGGTGGGGAGCAGTCCAATAGCAGGGATGGGTGGTCAGGCTCCGACGAGTGTTGTACAGCAGTGAGTCGGTGGAGAAAGTTTTTCTTGCATGCGTCGCAGTACAGACTACAACAGCGGTGTCGGGTAAATTTGTTGGTTTCGTTGTCTAGTGCTTGAGGATTTTGCGACTCCTTTTTTTCTTGTGTATTGGCTTATGAGGGCAGCTCTATGAAGCAACAGGCAGATGAAACATTCGCTGAATTGGATTCGGGCATATACCGAATGTCTAGAGTTCTGCTCGACATTTTTATTTGCCGAGCTCGCCACATGTGGAGGTTCGAGCTGGAGATCGACGTAAGTGTTGTGCATCAGCTAATTCTTGAAGTTTGTGTGTATCATTTAACGACTTTGCGGAGTCGTAGAATTGTGGAGCGAGCGGGATTTGATTAATGCAATGTGGCTAGTGTTGGGGTTTTAGTTGGTGGAAGTGTGGTATGAGTTAGGGGCGGGGGGCGAGAATTTGGTGTTCTTCAATGGGTTATTAATGTATGTGTTGGGTGTTAAAGGTGGCACCATTTACTGACGTTGTCTGTTGGTGGTGGTGTTTTCAGGCAATTGGTGAGGTTGGGCTGTGTAATAATGTAGTTTTAAGGCGTCGAAGTGGATTATCTACACAAATGTGCAGATTGTTACGGAAGTTGCGTAGATGTGATGATTTAGTAGGATGGGACTGATTTGTTAATACAAAAACGATGTACAATTGTGGTGTGTCACACCACTGCAGTGGGCTGGAATTTCGCACTGGGGTTGCACTTGAAGGAAGCGGACAATATATGGGAACCCTGGTGAAAATTATTGGGGTTAGCATTCTTTTCGATCATCGAGATTTGCAAAGGTGGTTGGTATTGTATGTCTGGGTGAGCACAGTCTTGTGATGCTCGTTTCGCTCTCGGTCGACCTCTGTAAGAATCTTCAATCTTGAGGTCGTCAGCCATGAGTTTCCAAGTTAGCTAGTTTGGAGATTTTGTAAATTGTTAATGTTCTATAATGACCAGCAGCTTGTCATATTTGATACTGAATCGCTTTGTTTCTGTTCTGGGCATTGTATGATTGTCAGAGAAGCTTGTGATTGAACGCAAAATGCATTTGGTATATGTATATGATCAAAAGTGAGTTCATTTATCTTCAAAATCCATCCTCCCACATCATGTTTGAAAGTAAACTCGGTTGTGTGGATGGAAACTGTGGGTTATGAATTTCAGTAATTTTAAATGCAGTGGTGTACATGTCTTTTTTCTCTTGCAAAACAAGTTTTCTGAATAGTGAAACCAAGGCATCAAAATATTGGTTATTGATTCAAAATATATAAAAGGCTAAGAACACTTCAAATTTTGACATGAAGAATCTTATGTTCGTTATCATGGCATGTTTTCAATAAATAATTTAATGATTATTTTATATCAACTTACTATAGTATAATCAACTTAAAATTCGGATATGTAACTTGTATGTAGTTATGTTATAGTAATCTTAAATTCTATCAGTTTTGATAACTGATTTTCAACAAAATGAAATTTGAAGTGTATTTAGTAGTAAGAAAATTCTCAGTTTTCATTTAAATGTTAATAGAGTTAAATTTAGTTTTTAAATCATAATCAAGCTCTACTTTTATAACCAAAATAACCAAAATACATCAAGTAGTTATAAAGAAAAGGACACATTTTTTCCATCACATCTACTTGTAATTATTATGAATACTTCTACAATATATCAAACAAAAATAATTCAATTAGTCAAAAAACTCCTTTATGTCCATTTTGATTTCTTTATAGAAAATCAATTGTCTCTTACAAGATTGAAGAAAGTATATTTCATTGAGCATGCCTTTGCCTAACTTGTGATCCATGACTCAAATCCATGTAATCTATTTGTGAGACAAAGAAAAAAACAAACCTCTCTTTATTTCGTCTCTATTACAATGAGTTATTTGTATAATTAAAAAAAAATAGTACAATAAAAAAAATCAAGATATTAGAAAATAAATAAAGTGTTGATATGCTATAAAAATATGTTAAATGGAGAATTATTTAATAGAGAAAAAATTGGTATAAATCTAAATAAAAGAAATTTGTTGTTAGAATAGAACTATTTTAGAATAACCCCCTTTTATTAAAAATAGGATGATAGTTATTATGTATATAATATTATAAGCAAAATATAACAAAATATTATGCATAAAATATATTATATTATATTTATATTATATATTATATATTATGTAAATTATGTCTAGGCTTAAATATAATACAAATGAATTAAATTATACAAGCTTAATCAAAATATCAAAGAATCAACAAATCACAAGAGCATAGCCATTGGTGTTGCCAATGGCCAGCCAAGCTATCCTGGCCTTAAAAATAGCTCTACTGCAGCTCAATCATTGGCCTCGGCAAGGTTGACAATGACAAAATGGACCATTCTTCCAACAATTTGCCATAGAAACAACTCTCTTGTGTTAGGGCCGAGGCTTGGAGTAAGGCCCCAACAAAGCCAATGTGGGGTAGGCAGTTGGCATTGGGCCTAGCCTAGCTTCTACTGGGCACATTGCAAGGCAGCTAGTAGAAGCCACTTTACTTTCTTTTTATCCTACAAGGGGGGCTTCTGGAAAGGAGGGGGATGGAAGTGGAGTCCTTGGGGAGTTAGTGTAGGGTAGGCAAGTTGATGCATAGCTTGGGTGCTACTAGCCACTCCACCTGATGGGTGGGAGCCACACTAAGGCCACCTTGGCTATTGCGCCATGTAGCCACTGATCCACCCGTTGGCCGTCTCCATTGACACCAAGAGGTGGCAATGCTCTAAAATTGAATGAAATGCAATGAAGAATTTCCACAAATAGTTTAAGGAAGCATTTTCTTCTAATAGAACAAAAATCAATTGTGTGACTAAAGAAATTGAAAAAGAATTAAAATTACATTCAAATTAAATTAAAGTTAATAAAACTATATCTATTATTAGTAACATAAATACTCAACAACCAATGGTACATTACTGAAGTCTCCTCAAGTTATTGTAAAAATATTAGTGGTTTACTATCTATCATAGTATTTACTTAGTATTGCTATATGTTACTGCATAAATTTAGTTCGTGATAAGTAACATGTGGTACTGTGTTTCACAACATTACTACGTAACTCATTAATGAGCAATGGTTATTAACATGCTTGGCTACTGCACTCTTCAAACGTTTTACAGCCGTGGACGATTAATTTCATGGTCCCCCATCTTGCTGCACCACCTTAAAGCGAAGGTTGCTACTTTAAACTTCATCAAGGAACAACCACAAATTCCCCTTCACAATATGTTCTTCGTGAAAGAATTGTATCGATAATTTTATCAATGGCATCGTCACTTCACTTATGATTTTTCATGACAAAGTATAGAATCCATAAGTGTTATTCCACTGCACTAGATCCTCACACCCAATTTCAATCCAGTCCAACATTAGTTTTTCAGCAGCAGCAGCAGCAGCAGCAGCGTCGCATCATCTAAGACCATGACAAATCAAAGGTCCAAAAGTAGCATCATAGAAATCACCAGAAATCACGACACTGCCGAAGGTCCAGAATCGGCTGTACGATGTAATCCACATCACCAGGCAGCAAATATTCATGAGGACCAGAGAAGGGAAGACAAGTGGAGACGGCGTTGGCAGAGGCGCTGGAACACCGACAAACAAGTGATGTAAAAACAATGCAATTGGGATTTCCAAGGACCTGTAATGTGATCGATGTTCATCAGCATTGTGAGTGTTTGCAGAAAATGCGGCACAAGAACAGCAGAGAAAGGGAAAGGGAAAAAAAAATATGAGGAAAACACCGTAGGACAGTGTATAGAACATGGAAGCTATCTTACAGGAGTCATTGAAACAGGTTTGCTGCTTTTTATCTACACGGGGTGGACTGCAAGATTCCATGGTTGCTTCATCCCATGATCTGTGACAATGTGATGCAGGTCTCGTTGGTCTTCGTCGTTCTCGCCCGACAGATCTTCCAAAGACCGGCCCTTCGTCTCCGGCAACAGGAACGTGCAAAAGAAGCCCGAGAGGTTGATGACGGACAGAAGAAGGAACGCATTTTTAATGCCAATGCCGTTGGGGTAGCCTTTGTCTCTGCTGCTTGGAGTCTTCCCTTGTGCGGCGTAGAGGAACCCGAAGGCTCCGACAATGGCGCCAGCTTTGCCTGCTGCAGCAGAGATACCATGACATGTGGACCGCAGCCGGGCAGGGAAGAGCTCGGCCGGAATGATGAAGGTGGTGGCGTTGGGGCCAAAGTTGGCGAAGAAGAACGTCAGAGCATAGAGCACGAGGAACGCGACATGGCTGCCGCCGCAGTACTTGCCATCACCACAAGGGTCCCCTCTGAGGTCGTGGTACATGAAAGTGAGCATGAACATAAAGAGAGTCATGAAGAAGAAGCCCCCCAGCTGGATGATCCAGCGGCCGACTATGTCGATCGTTGCCACGGTGAACCAGTAACCAGGAACAGTTGAGCAGAGCGCAATCAGAGCTTGAGCTCGGGAGACCTTGAAAACCTCTTCCAAGGCGCTCATAGTTTTCTGGGGTGGCAGCCAGCCCACAGACGTGAAAATGTCTTTCTGAAATAGATTCTGTGAGTAAAAGGCCACATCTAATAGGAACCATGTGCTTGTACATCCCAGAAGCTCGATGCCATGCCGCTTCATGAACCTCTTGGAAAAGAGACCGAATTCCTTGACTGCCAAGAGTCGGGAAGTGCACACGGGGTTGATTAAGTTAGGGGCTGTAAGAGAACATGAGCACAGAAGAATTGAATGTTTTTGAAGAGAATTCAGAAAGTAAAACGAGAGAAAATACCTCGATGGTATTCCATGGGGGTGTCTACAATGGTGTCAAATTGAACTTGAAGCACTCGGCCCATTTCTTGAGCAGCTCGTCGATTGTTCTTGATGACCAATGCCGTGTACCGAGCAGTTTCCGGCATTTGCATGCGGTAATAGAAAGTCACAATTGCGGGGAGAGCTCCGAACATAAAGATGATTCGCCAGACGTAGTCAGCCTGGGGAGGTGTCGACGCAATTTCGTTGATCTCAAATGCTGGAGAGGGGTAGGCTCGCCGAAAGATCGACGACACAATGATGGACATCGTTGCGCCAGCAACAATCCCAATTCCTTGCATGGCGAACACGGCAGCAATGAACGCACCGCGAGTTTTCTGGTTTGCGTACTCAGACATTATGGTCGCAGACAGAGGATAATCGCCACCTATTCCAAAGCCCAACCAAAACCGAAAGAAGCACATCGTACTCATCACCCCCTTGGCCGAACTACCGAAGGAGAGCCCCGAGGCAAGAGACGTGATTATCATGAGTACCAATGTATAACCATACACTCGCTTGCGACCCAGCCTGTCCCCCAACCAGCCGAAGTAGAGCTGTCCGCAGAAGGTCCCGCAGAGCGCCACACCGTTCACGGCCGCCGACACATTCGGTGGCAGAACCCCGGGTTTGTGCGAATTTGGGTCGAAATAGTACAACCGCCCTAGCAGCCGAGCCACTGTTGAGATGCAGAAGAGATCGTATGCGTCCGTGAAGAAGCCCATTCCTGCAATAATAATAGTTGTGAAGTGGTACCATTGTGTCTTCGCTCTGTCCAAGGCCCCAAGCACTTCGGAGGACCCGGCTCCGATCGCCATGGCCGCCCTTCAATCTTGTCGGTGCCTAACCTACGCAAGATGAACAAGATCATGATCAGCCGAGAATTGATTATTCATATCCTCGTGATATCATACGTAACTTCACAGCGCTTGGATTTAAGAAGATTAAGGAAAAACTTCCTCCGTCTCTGAACAAAAGTTGCTCAATTTCTCTAAATGATCCCTCAAAGCCTTCCAGTCCCTCAATTTCAGTAGAACCGAGGATACTTTCAGGTGAGCTGTGGTTGAATTCCCGGAAGTGGCAAGAAAAAAACACTAGATGAAAATGGTGAAAGACATTGGAGCTGTATAGGGTTTAGAAATCTCGAGATGGTACGTGACTAGAATCTAATGCTAGAGGGAAGAATAAACCGCCGACTTCGTCAAAACTACCACATGGCAGAATTCAAGCGCTCTAATTACTTAGGAAGGAGTATCACCCAGTGGAAGAAATCAGCAACACCTTGCGCTGCCTAGAAATTCTATTCGTAGTAACGTGATACGCGCATCGGAGAGAAAGGTGAAGGAGCCCGCTAACCTTGAAAATCAGTTGGTGTATCAGCAGACTGAGAATAACGTAATTAGGCTTTGCAAGAGTGCGGGCCTGCTACTCGTGGTTTTACATCTCTCTGCTCCAGAGAGGCACAATTTCCAAGAGCAAAGGTCAGCACATGAATTTTCATCCTATACCTTAGATTCTTCCTAAACCCTAGCAAGCTAACTGCGTTCATTGCTCATTGCCCAGCTTGTGCTTCGTCCCAGCACGGCCTCATTCTCTAGACTCTGTGAATCTTGCCATGATTCTCGTCCCATCACAAATTATTTGATCAAACTACACAAAACAATATTAACTTCAGGTTGGCCAACGTTGTGAAGCGTCTGCGGCTCAAACCCATCCAATCTGCTACAACTCTACGTGTTGGTAACAAATGACAGTCCACGAACTAAACGAAGGATCGAACAAGTGACGGAAGGTACACAAACCTGAATCTTGCTTGATGAGCCTCTATGTGACAAATGCCGAGTGCGGAACTTCACATCGATGAGCTAGATTTGGGCAAGACAAGGCTTGCATTTGGAAGAAAAGAAAGGAACATTGTTCAGGGATTAGGGTGAGAGGAACCCCGAAAAAAAAACAACTAAAAAATATATAAGAAGAAAAAATAGGTGATAACCGACGATCTCTCTTACATCCCACCACAGTGCAGCAGTCAGGAACAACGCACTCGGCTCTTTTGCCAAAATTCGTGTAAAGCCTGTCGAAGCCGGGCAATCGTGAATACGGCAATGTACGGATTTCCCGATGATGCGGGAGAAGATTCGAATCGGCATCGCAAAAAGCTCGGCGATCACTCCGAAAATGTCTCACGATGCTGCAGATTTGAGGCCCAGATCCGAGGTCTCTTTGGTATCAGGGATATCCGCCTGACGACTAATTTGGGTAGCTATCATTCCCCTACGCACAATCCACATTTGACCATCTCCACTGCAGCTTCCGTCAGAGCGTCGCATTTTTTCCCTCGTCATCTGTCCCGAAGGTCCACTGGGTCCATCGACATATCCATCCATCTGTGCTTGTCCGGGCATTTTGCCCGTTGAAGATGGATAAATTGGTACACAGATACACATATCCGCAGGTTTCTTAGTATCTGACCACGTGTCGCCAGAGGGAAAGAAATCTCCCACTGTGATCATTTCACTAAGGACTATCTCGGGAATTGAGAGTTTAAATCTTTTGGTTAATTTCTTTACCGCTAGCATCAGAATCCGTACACATCTATTCGAAAACCTCGGCCCTATGGTGATACTCGACGGCAGTGTCTGAATCACATTCCGCATCTGGGTTTACCCATTCCAACCTTTGTCGTAACGAGTCTTGGTTGCTGGAGACCATCGCATCCTCTTTGTGCATTATAGCCTACCGAGCAGGCATGTTGCGACTTGGCCGATGTGGTCCACCACCTGCGCCGTAAATGCTATGCTCGTTTTCTATTCTTGGACATGCTGCTCCTGAGCCCTCACGTAGCGGTATAAAGGTATCAGACAAGGAATATCCAATATCGCGCACCTACTTTCCACGGTCAGTCACCTACTCCCATACGCCAGATTAGTAAACCACGGCTGCACTTCCGAGGTGAGTGGAGAGCTTCTGTTGACGATTCGGGAGCCGCGACATTCTGCATTGGTCTGAAGAGAATCGGCATGCCGTTCGCCGTGTCTGTATCAATCGATCAGTGCGTGTGAGCTTGAAACATCCTCCAAGTTCTCTGCGAGGTCCATCCACACACAGGATGCCTGAACCTTGGCTTGATACAAACCAATATATCACAGTGCTGCCGCTGAGCAGCGCACTGTTGGATGGAGGCGAGCGAATCCAGATAAACAGGTCTCTCATTTTTATTATTTCTTCATTCTAATTATTATTTTGACACAAAATCGGGTATACCTGATGCTGTAGAGAACTCCCATTTCACTCGCTCACAAAAACTCTGCAACAACGCAAGTCCTTCGCAGGGAGCGCAGCCACGAGCGATCCTTTTTTTATCCATTCATTACCACTTTCGCTCAGCACCAAATCTCTCATCGCACGAGACCCTGACAGCGGATACGACAGGGATTGAGCATGTCGCTCTCCTTAGATGCCTTAGAAGCCTGGGAAGCGGAAACGACTCAGCTCACAATTACTCCCGTCGTTCAGTGCTGCCCACTTCCGAGCATGGATCAGTGCCGACGCGTCGGAGTGTTGCGCAAAGGCGACCACGGGGTAGGTACACAAACCTGAAGCCCTGCTGCTCGGTTCACACCGCCGAACGCCGTCTTCCCTTTTTGTTGTTAATGATATTTATGTTCCTTGTTCTTTCCTTGTTCTTTCTTTCTTCCATATCTGCGGCGATGGTGTCATGAATTCTAAACTTGTCAAAACAGCATCCGAAAACTCGCTAGCAAGAAGCTAGCTGTCAAGAACTGATGATCAAGTGGATAGCCTCGCCATAACTGGTGGAATCCATCTCCTTGCAAAAAAAAAAAGCATCAGCACCACGGCAAAGTATATCCACTGTCATTCAGTCCTCCCACTCCTCCTGCGCTTTGCGCCTTCTTGGATTTTACCGCTGAAACCTTGTCCTCCATGGCGAATCCTCCTTGCTATCCGCCTGCACTGCACTGGCCATCCAGGTTGGCAGCCAAAAGCAAAAGCACCGCACCCAGTTGCTTACTTCCGCTGTAGCGCTGACGTCTATCGCAACAAGGAAGCACAACACACGTGCGCTCTGCACTCTCAGGCTCTTGTACATAGCATCGCATTCTGTGTAATAAAACGCTATGCGCACTTGTTTTTTGTGATGTGATCCAATGCGATCCCACAGTTGGTGTTGGCCTTGTTGTGAACTGCACAAAAACGTCTTCTTTTTATAAATTCCTCATTCTCTTAACATTATATTCAATTAAATTTTGAAACAATGATGTGTGTAACGGTGAATTATTGGTCAAACACAAGAGGCTCGTGGTTGACGGATAGGTTCCTTGTGATGGGAATTGGTGAGATGGATTGTATGTGATCTTTGGGGTTTTGGAAGAATGCGTGTTTGATCCCTTTTCTGTCATAGTGGTGATTCTGTTGTTCGGACTGTGAGAAGTGAACATGGATTGTGGATTCAAATAATTGGATTTTTGAGGTTGCACAATGTTTTCATTTCCTTATGTGCCCATGAAGAATTGAAAATAAAAAAATAAAGCATGAATTTGAGACCGTTTCTAGAAAATATTATATTTTTATTTTAAAAAAAAAACACTAATTTAATTAAAAACAATTGCCATAAGTTTTATAGGTTTAATAAGAATGTAAGAAATCCTTAAATAATAACAACAGTAATAATAATATTTTAATATTTTAAACCACAACTTCTTACCTATGTCAATTTTTATTGAAATTTTGATAAATTAACAAATTTAACTTTATACATAGTTGTTTTAAAATATGTGCTGAATAAAATTCAAATTAATTACAAAAAAATCAACATATTTTATATAGAATAATTGATTATCTTTGAAAAAATAATAATTAATTAACATAATAAAAAAATAAGTCCACTATTGCAATAATTGGGGTTATAATTAGAATACAAAGTAAGGAGAAGTTTTGAACATTTATATTGATGGTCCAAGAATCAAATAAGATTTTGATATAATAAAATACTTTTTTTTCCTTCCATTTTTAAAATTATTATATATTTATAAACATTATCTAAAAAGAACCATATAGATGTTATTTAGAAGATTAAACCATTAACTACAACAATTTTTGTCAATTATATTCAAAATAATATATTATTTTATATTCTTTAAGTATTTATAAAACAAAGTCCATCTTTTGCCTCCTTAATCCATGTTCGAGGCCAAAAGAATTGCAACAGCCATGGTCCAAACAAAGTGCTTATTAAAGTATCCCAAGCAACCAGGTGAATTCCAAGTACTAAAAGACAATGGCCAACAAAAGAGACAAGGATGAGAGGTTTTGGGGGGGAAAAGAGGAGGAGGCTGAGAACGAGAGTGGAGGTCGAAGTAGGTGGGAGACGATGGGGAGATGCAAGCCATAGAGTGAAGTGAAGAAAATCTGTATGTTTGTGTTTGCGGTAGGCATAGTAACGGAGATTGGTTGCAGATTGCATGAGCCGTAGAAATGAATGCGTGCCGTTTGGCAGATCGAAAGGCCGGTGTAGGGTACAATGCTTGTAGAAAGTAGAAAGCCTTGGGTGTCTAATATTCTGTGTTATCCGAGAGTCGCCGACTGCCATTGTGCCAAACCCGGATGGATATCAGTGGTGGCTATTATAGTGAGTATTACCATGATGTGGTCCAAAGACGCACGAATACATCCAAACGAGAACTTCGACAATCCTTGGCAGAGGTGGCGATACCCAGATCTGCCCGATGGTTGAAGGCACGACAAAAAGATGGAGCTTTTTACAGAATGTCAGGATCTTCCCCTGCTCCGCGAACGATCGTGCTCAGCAGGATTCGAACCTGCGCGGGCAGAGCCCACATGATTTCTAGTCATGCCCGATAACCACTCCGGCATGAGCACTGCGCGTCCCAGTCTGCATCCGTTTACATCTCTCAACCATACTCATTGTGTCTTTGTCCATCTCATCATGGCGGTGGCCAATTGCCTAACGGTCGTTTAATTCAGCCCTAGTGACATGGCTCCAACCTTTCCTTTTCAAGCACTGACTGCAATTCCATTCACCTTCTCTTCTGCTCGCCCTGGAAGCACCGCAATTCCTTCAGCACACTAGTCGGACCTACCACGATATTCGCCGCTGGGCCTCGAACCACTCCAGCTTGCTTGAACATCTCACCGCAAAACCCGTGCATGTCACGTGTTGTCATGAACCTCACCGAACACGGAACTCTTCGGATGAGTGACTCTCTGCACTAACTCACGATTCTCGCAACTCGACTCGCGGTGCACACATGCAATGCTTACAGGAACACCCGAGTTGAAGCAACTGCGTCATGCTACGCTCCGTTACTGGACTGCACTGCATCGTTGCGAAGGAACGTGGCGATACAGTAACCTCGTAAAATGCCCTGAGGCCACGGGAGGGTCCAGGTCTCTCCCAGTATCAACCATTTGGCCTCCGCGAGAGGATGCTCAGCCTGTTGCTGCGCACTGTGCAGCTTGGTCCGGTGGAATTTGCGGGAGGTCGCCTTCGGCTCTGCAGGTGATACCAATGTAGGCGCAATGTCTAGTTTACTTTGTTAGGTCCGCCATTCCTCCGCCAAGATGGAACGACGTGGTATCCCTGAAGTGAATGCTGTCCTGGTTCACGGCATCCCACATTCCAAACATCCTGCAGGTTTGAAGTCTTGCCCTTAAGCTTTGGTATTCTCAGGACTCAAATGCCTTGTCCTTGCCGGTTGTTGGCTTGAATGTAGGTGTTCCGTGTAAATATTTCCATCCTCTACCTTTTGTATAAAAGAGACAGTTGCCGAACTCTTTTATTCCGCTTGGTGTAACTGACCTCTGAGAAAGGTGTTTTTGTGGAGTTTGTTTGTTGATTCTGTTATTACTTTGTACTGTTGAGATTAGGTCATGTCACAACCTAATTTTTTTGTTAATTCACTACCAACTCTTTTTTTAAGTGTTATGTCGTTTTAATATTCAAAGGAATCAACGTGATAAAATTACTGAGGTATGTTTTAATTTATTTTGTTTTATTTTTTTATGCTTTTTGTGGTTTTTTTTGTGTGTTTGTTTTTATACTTATTAATTTTGTTTCAAATTCTAAAATTATTGAAATGTCATTGTGGACTTGATTTAGCTCAGAATTAAATGTTATGTATTTATTTTTAAAACCACTTTTATTGTCTACACTCATGGACAAGACCATAGCTTGTAAACTTTTATTATTATCATTACTACTATACAATTTATCATATTATTTGAATTTAATTTGAAATGATTTTATGAATATAACATATAAGTCTTTATTTGTACATAATTAAAATGTAAAAATTTCCATATAACAATTGTATTTTTTCTTTTTACAAATTAATCATCCATGCATCTATATGCAATCTTGCCATCATTTTTAGTATTTTGTTAATGCATCTAATAGATTAAGCAATAGATTTAGGCCGATAGGATGTAGACATTAAAATTTTTTTTGATCAATATTGTCTAAGAAAGTTTAAAGATAAACAATTCACTTAAGTTTGAGACATCTTAAAGTGGAGCAAATTAGGGTAGTTTATTAAGTAGCTACTATTAAAAAGATGGTTTAGCAACTATATTTAATTACGAGTAGTATAAGAATATAGTAAGGCCTTTTTTGGCTATAATATTTTAATTACTATTAGAATTTTCTTCAATTAAGAATTGTATTCAAACTAATTATATAATAGAATGTCGCTATTTTTGTTTGATCTATCTTTGTCTCATATTTTTATTTATTTTATTAAGATTAAATTGTATGTAGTCTTGTCAAAACCATTAATAAGTGCAAAAATCTTGACAAAGGATTGACCTACAACAAATCAATTTTAATACAAGGAACCATTGTTAGATTTAGTATTTGAAAATTAACATTTAATAAAAGATACAATAAACTTGAAATAATTAAAGGTAGTTAATAAATCTCTTTGACTTGTAGTAAAGTTTTTATTGTAATTCAATACTATTGGATTGCATATCAACTTATATCTAAACTATAAGAATTTATACAATAGAATTATTAAAGAAGTATTAGAATTTAAATAGAAAAAAACTTAGCCAAAAAAAATAAAGTTGATAATAAAAAATAACTTATTGATATAAAATCATAAAAATATATTTAAAAATAATTAAATAATAAAAATAATAGTATAATTTTTTTTAGAAAATCAAATTATTCAAAGTACCTAATTTTTTTCAAAATACTAAGATAAAAAATATTTAAAAATTATCTTATAATTGATATATATATATATATATATATATATATATATATATATATATAATAACTAAATATTAAAAAATTTAAAAAATAAACCTAATTCTTATAATAATTTTTTTTGGATAGAAAAAAACTAAATAAATCTATTTTAAGGTATATGTAGTTATTTATTGATAATAAAATAAATTTATATGTATATTAAATTTTATCAATTTTATAGTTTTGTGATGTTAATTGATGCATTATTTCAAAATCAATGACTTCATATATCTATTTTGCTATTTTTTTTGTAATTCTTAAAATTATTTATTTTAAAAGGTATAATTTTTATTTAAAAAAAATTATTTTTCTGAAATAAATGAAATTTTTATCTAAATCAGTACCAAAATTTTTTAATGATATTTTTTTTTTAGATATAGATATTAGAAAGTCCTATAAGAGAGGAATTAAAATAATATCTAATTATTCACAAAATGTTATGAATGTGAATTAAAGACATGAATCATGCAAAAATCAAAAGGTAAATATACTCTTGTGTTGCTAAAAAAAGAATAGATAAGTTCTTATCAATGTACTCTTTGAGTACAACCAATTTGTTTTGTGATAAGTTATATATTGGTTCAAATAGTAGTTGAATTTCTTCTTGAAGATTAATTACGTAATTATAAGAATAGTACTCTAGATGAATATTTTTATTTTTTTGAAATATCTTAATAATTTTGATATTGGATAAAAATGATATTAAAAGTCTTTTTCTAATTAGGAATATATGTGGAAAAAATATCAAAAAGTGATATTTCTTTTGTATCATGCATAAATATGCTTATACCTACTAATAAAGATTTAAATGTATTAAACTTATGACTTTTTAGAACATTTGAATTAGACTATAGAAAAAAATAAGATTACAAAATTTCTAATTTTTTCAAG